TAATCGCATTGGATGAGGGAAAACCAAACAAAGCAAAACGTTCAATCGATTTGCAGACAGGATCCAGGGGTAGCAACCCCTTGTCAATGTCTTATTCCCCATCCTCGACAGGAAACCCCCGGATACAACACGAAAAATATCAAATCTTGAGATTTTAAACAGTTCGGTACCCTCTTTCACCATATGTAGGTCTCTCTACCCTTCTCTCCTGCCCCATACTCCAAACGCCTTTACCGATTTTTGCATACATACCACGAGTATGTATGTATGTATGTCCATTAATAAATAATTTGGGACGTGTGAATGATTTTTATTTAAATCGCCGCTAAAAAAAAAGAAAAGAGAAGCCTGGCGAGAAACAGTAGCAGGATCGGACTAACCGGATTCCGTGGCGTATCCTTTCCTTGCCCCAGTGTGCATGTATCTGCGTGTGTGTATGTGTGTGTGTGCGTTGTCTGCGGAACGTTTGTCTACTTCTGCAGCTCATGTAATATTCATGATTATTTGAAATTTGCGCTTCGTTATCCTTTATCCCGTTTTATGTTCGGTGGAGGCAGACGACAATCATATGTTAGCGCGTTCAGCGCGGCTCCTCCATCTTCACGCCGTGCACAGATACCACTGCAAACGATTTTGCTCGTGTATGTGTGCACATGAGGCTGGTATAAACAGCAAGAGTTCCTGCATACACAGCGTTATCGGGTTTTCATGCGGCCACACACAAACAGAGGCCAGGACACGCCGGGGAATTCCTTCAATGGCATTGACAGCAACTCAACCCAGCTTCGGTCCGTCAATATCCCTTGGCAAACTGTTGCATTTCTGCCCTGCTCAGGCTCCCGGCCTTCTTCTTTCATGGCTGTGCTGTGTCCTGTCGGTGTGCGAGTTTCCGTTTTCATGCTTATCAGCTTTCGTCCTCCGTTATTGTTGCTATTCCCCTGGCGCTCTTTTTCCCTCAACTTTATGTGCAGTGCGACCGAAACCAAGACCAATGCGCCACACCTCCACCTGAAAGTCAATAGCTTTTGTTGGAACTTAGCTGATGCTTCTGCTTCTCTTTGTGACACTGGCACTGGCATGGCACTAGCACTGCCAAGGCACTGACACTGGCAAGGCACTGACACTGGCAAGGCACTGGCACTGCCTGACTGCATTGCGATAACAGACAACGCCAACTTCCCTTCGAACTCCAGGTGAAGCGAAGTTTCTTGACAAACTAGGAAAGAATTATGATTGATTGTTGCTCCAGAGGACTCACAACGGACGAAACTTCAGAAAATTTGGCTATTGGCAGGGGTTGAGCCAAAGTACCTTAACAGACAGAAGGAAACGAATTTTATTCCTATATTCCTCGCTTTGAGTAGAAGAATTGATATCAAAGAAGTTATGGCAAGCTTTACGCTTGAAATTAGATGAATGGCACGAACGAAAATGAGCTTTAATTTTTCACAAGAAAACCTAAAACTATACAGAAAAACAAAAGGGAAAGGTTACCAAAGTTGCACTCTCTTTGTTGATGTGGGCCTGTGGAGCCGATCCGCCGACTACACTGTGCTTTTCTGAAAGAAAAAAACCTCATTGGAATAGCTCTAAGCTTTCGAGACGGAAAGCTTAATGCCTACAATGTTTACGATCTGCTGCCAGAACTTCGTCGTTGGGTCTGATCTTGCAAAAAGCTCATCTTGCTTGCAATAACAAAGTGCAGTACAAAAACGAATTAGGTTCCGTTATTATTTCATAAAAGCTCTCGCGCCTCGTAATGCTGAACGAAATCATTGAGCTTCAATTAGTGGTCGCATCAAATTGATTGGTTTTGCTTGCGTTTTGGCTTATTGTGATAATCAGGTGCACAAAATTTAACTTATCGCAAAATGCCACTACAGGAAATCGTTACCAAAATGAGCAGAAGATGTTTTACAATCCAAACTTTTTTAAAAGATCCAAAAAGTAACGGGAAAACACCTCGCCCGGGGCACACCCCATTACTGCGAGAACACGATAAGCGGCGTATAAAAGCTTGGCCGTTAAAGAAAAATTTGTCACGAACTGGCTCCTCCCTGTACCAAAGCGTCGAGTGCAAGCAATTTTGAGGGCTGATCAGAACGTTTCCCACGAAAAAGGCTAGTAAAATGTCAGCTACTTCCCCGACATAAAGTGGGGCGAATGTCACTTTACCTTTACTGAAACTCATCCGTTTTGGGACCTGAGTCCTGAGTGGAAAAAATATCATCTTCACTGATGAGTGAAAAATAGGGATATTAAGGCCCCAAAATAGGCGTCAGAAAATATTTTCAACCATTGGACGAAGTTCTTATTGATTTTAGAGGAAAATATTATGGCGATTCGTGGACATTTCAACAGGACAATGCTCTGCTCCATGTCTCCAACTACTGAAGGTTTCGAAGTGGTCAGAAAAAATTCCAGAAAAGTTTACATGCTCAAAAGACAATTAAATATATACTTTATATACATATATATATACTATTACTCTTTCACCCTAGTCCCAAAACTGCCTTGTTTCCTACTTTCATTGACATCTCGGTTCAATCCCTATATGAACTAGGCCTCAATCTAGTGAAAATTACTATATAGGATAATATGGGACCCACTACAATGTCTATCATTACCGCTAAGACGGTTTTGTTGGTAACAATGACAAATAAATATTTTAATGTATTCAATTCCGAACGGAAACGATTTTAAATGCCTCATTACGCTCTCAGCCAGTTGCAGTTGCAGTTCCAGTTCCCAGTTCCCAGTTTCTTCAACTAATAAAAATCGAAATAGATTTTCCGGGAGTGTGGGCTCAACAACAACTCGTAAATTACATGCTCATTTTTCAGACATTTTATGAGCAGACCACGAATGGGTCAGATCTGACCTAACCTGGCTACTGTGAAATGGCCGAGCTCATTAGACACGGGGTCTTGTCATTTGTACTTATTGGCTGAATGGCTGCGACGGAAGTTGTCGGCGAGGCGCAGCATGAAGCATGAAGTGTGTTTTGTTGGTGACAAATTAAGGAAAATTAGGGGAAAACCGTTTGCATAACTCCATGAGGAACTGAAGTTGCTCTTATGGACGGATGACAGCCTTCTTTACCGTTTTCGTTCTCAGGGCCGTACAAAGGAACAGCCCAGAGGAAAACGAATCAATAGGAAGGAAGAAGCGCAAACGATTGGATCCTTATCGAGCCATGTGTCGTCCTTGTACCTGTCCGAGGTGCAAGCCACAAGGGAAAGAGGAAAAAGACTCGGGAATCTCCGTCAGCCTAAGCGAATCCGCTTACCAAGACAAAACAAAAACAACAAAAAACAATGACATGTTTCTCCTCTTTCGCAGCCAGATGAATGGGTAGATAAAAGGGAAAGATGCCGCGGCCGGAAAAGAGCATTTAACGCGATTTGATGGTTTACAAATTGCTTGGAAGGAACCGGGGAAACGAGATAGAATCTTTGTCAAGGGAGTATCGAACAACTGACGGCATTTCCTTGTTAAGGGGATGAGGCTCAGGCTGCAACTCATTGTGTTTGGATAAAAGATTGCTGCGAAGGGCTCGGAGGTGAATTCAATCAAATTGTATCCAACATTATTGAACATTACGCGGATCAAAACGGTTTCCGGTAGAAGGCATTTTCAAAGATTAAAGTTATGTATATGTTATAACCAGCTATACTCCATACTTTAGCTAAGAAGTTTCAATAATGTGTCTATAAGGGCATTTTGCCAATGACTATAATTATCTTTAATATTTCATAGACAGCCCACATTTCAGCAGCACCACAGCAGAAGGTGCAACGTGCAAAGACCTCACGTCGCAAGCGCAGGCTTGGTCAAAATTCTATAATTAAACGCACTACAGGCTCCGGATATGCCACCACACCGTTCGCACTTCCTTTGTTTGCTTACCTGTCTGAGCCACGCCGCGGCGACTATCTACAAAGTATATTCAACCGGCTGGGAATGCTCGCCTCAGTGCTGGCATAGGAAATGCCCCTGAGGTTGCAGCAGGCACATTGAACCAGCCAGAGATAACTGATGGCTGCTGATTTTAATCAGCATGACTATGATATTTTAATCGGCAATCCATCCGCATGAGATCATACGAGATTCCGGAGCAGATAGATTTATACGCCTTATATCGTTCTGTTTTTCACCGACAGACAGTCTGGCGTTCACATACTTACCATTAAATCTTAAACGATCAAGCTGAAACAAGGGCCGTACCGTGATTACAGCTAAAATCAAAACTAACCGATATTCACAATAATATTCGTCACATTTTCATATAATTGTTGTATACCCAGCGCTCGTAGAGTTTAGGGCTAAATATTAGTTTTGTGGTGAACCCAGAAGGAAGCGTTTCAGACCCCATAAACAGCCTCAAAATCCTAGTCGATATAGCCATGTCTATCCGTCTGTCCCTACGTCCGTCTGCCCTGCGAAAATCTGTGGCATCCACAATTTTGAAGAAACGAGAAAACCGAAAACGCAGAATCATGGGGGAACATCTAGAATGCTGCATCTGTATAAAAGCGGATCACTATTATAGCCAGAAGAAATGAAATTCAATATATGCAAGTTTATTTCAGATAGGATGTTTTCCTACAAAAACGCACAATCATGAAAAATTACCATATCTACCAGATTGCCGAATCTGATTCATATTTGATCAGCGTTAAAGCCAGAAGAAACATATTAAATTTCAGGGGCTACGCTACTACTACGCTATTCAAGCTCTGACTCTTTCTCTCTTCCACTCTTCCTAGTGCAATGTACGCCCTCTGGCGCAGAAGAGCGGCTGTTGCTGGTTTAAAAAGTGAGAGGGAGAAGGAGAGTGAGACAGATGTAAACAAAATATAAAGAAATATAATTCTGATCAAATAGGTCATTAGGGGAAAATATGGTAAACGGAGTGAAAGAATTAACGTTAGAACAAAACTACTTTGCGGTCGTGGTTGCTCTCCTTATCTCTTAGCTTTTTCCATCTCTTATGACAGGTGAGAGCAAAATTGAGAGATTCCCCCTAGCGATAATAAGAGACAGAGAGAGACAGCATGCGGAAGTCATCGCGATGCATCGGCTTGGATACCAATTCTGGCGTTGACGTATAATTACGTATAAAATATATTGTACAAGTTACATAAATCATAAAAGTAACATATAAACTGACTAAGTGCAGGGTATAAAAGTCGCCACTTACAACGTTCCCACTCGTTTTTTCCTGTACATATATGATAAGTTAGTCTATTTTTTGGTAAACAATTTCAGCAAAAACCAGTCAAGCCACACGACCCTAAACACTCAGATACCCATTACGTAGTTTCTATATACGTATCTATGAAATAGACAAAACAGAATTTAACGAGTAGGAATCGAAGGACAGGAGTCTCCTCGCCCAAAATCGAACGGCCAGAAGGACATGGCTCTATCGAATCGGCTATTGATGCTGATCAGGAAACGCTTCCTTCTGGCTGTTACATACTGCGAGTATTTACTATTTGAATACCGAGAGTAAAGGACTGATTCATGTAGAACGTAAATAATAATCTGACTGTCTATCAGCTGCCAAGATGATTAGAGAGACGTTTGAGATAAGAAAACAGCCCGATAAACACGGTAATCGGAGACGTAAAAGAAAACATGAGATAAATCATCAAGCGGTGGAGTGCTAGAGTGCTGGAATGCTGGAATGTACACGGAACTGACCTGGAAATCTAAATAAATACATTAGGAATTCTAGGCTATGGAAATGGCTTTCTGGGGTGTGCTAATGTATAATTTAGTTAGTTAGGCATTAAAACAAACATAAATATTCTCTTGCACGCTAATTTAATCAATTATTAATTTTGATTACTATTTGGTATTGTACATGCATATTTATACCAAAAGAAAAGTGATGCGCGAAATAATTAAATGATTTTTTCAATTATCTCAATCACATCGGTACTCAGTCCGCTCGGAATGCTAATTGTAATTGGTGCTTATATCACGCACGAATCTATTTTAGTAAATGCGAAATTCAGTTGGGCGGTACAGGAACTTGCATTGAAACAAATCAATTGGAATTAGTTTAAAACATTTTAAAATTGGCTGCCACAAAAAGCCCTGCAATGGTGTCTAAATTTGTTACAATCAAAATCGGACAAAGAATACTTACAGCTCGGCAAAATAGTTTCAATGCATAAAATTATATACAAATTATATTCAATAGAAGTGGAATATACATGAGGATTAGAAAAGCTGGCGGGGAAAGCAGAATAAGTACATCAAATGCAAATACTCGTTTGCTACTGCCAGTTTTATGTTTTATTAATGTATTAGAATTGTGAGAAATTATGGCTTAATATAAAGAGGCAAATGTACATACATACATACACATTTAGTATATAAAAGCCGGTTGGTCTGCCCACAAAATATATCAAAAGATTACATTTATATATGTATGTACGTAATTAGAATATCAATTATTAGAATTAACTACAGGAAGCTGTACGATGCAATATATGTATAAATCAAGGCAATACATTTTTATATGAAATGAATCTAGATCGTACTAAACCAATATCTGAAATGTGTAGAAGAAGGGAAAATGATTATGGTGGTCCCCAAACATTACGCTGTTTCAGCCGTTTTGGTTTCTTGGAGACTTCTTTTCAGACCCTGCTAGCGGCAATCCGTTAGTTACTGGCGCAGTCATTCATTCGGCATTCGGATTTTTGCGCTGCTTCTAGATAGGCACGGAACACGCCGCCACAGTCGCAGTTGTTGCATACGTCGACGCAGTGGCAGTCGCAGTCGCAGTCGGCTGACGTCGGTTGGCTTGATGAACTGGTTGGTTTTAACTTGGCTATAACTGAGAATCCCAAGAAGAGCGTTTTAATTGCTGTAAAAAAGCGCGCGAGTTCACTTGATTGAGCGACTGATTGAGGGAAAAGCGATTCTAAATTCTCTGCAAGTTGTTCGATCGGCCGTGTCTGTCAACGAAAACAAAATCGTGGGAGCTGAAAATCAAACAAAATTTATCAGAAAAACCAGACCAAAAGACATTCCCATATAAAGTTCAATTGATTAAATACGGAATACTGAAAAGTGTGAAAAAACTGTGCAAATATACGGCAACAAATATTAACAAAATATTTAGGTATAGTAAGCTCACTGGAAATGTAATACTCATTGTTCTTGCTTTGTCTTTAGCTCTGTTTTAGGATAAAGATCTGGTTAATCACTGATCAGCGGATAAAATAGTTCAAAGACTCATAATGTTCTGGTTGTGAGTGAAAGGGTGTCTTCTTACAAGTACATACACATACGAGTATGTATTTAAATTCACTTGCCCATTGGCAACAGTATCATCTGAGTCCGGCCTGGTTTTCTAGCCTAAGCCTCCAGTTTTCTGAGTCAGCATCCACTTGTTTTGTGTGCATTGAAAACTTGATATTTTCCACTTGATTTATTCAATAATTGCACACCCTTCTCCGCCTGGTTCGCTTTCTATACCCATACATATACATATAATTATAAATACATAAGTGCCCTGATATCTAGTCTGGGCTGAATAACAATGGCCCTTCCCATTGTGGCAATGAATGTTTTATGAATTGCGTAAACAATTGGCCTAATTGACTGCTGTTTAAATATAACACAAGCGATTGTGAATGGAATTGGAATGTGTCAGGGGGCCACCACTACAGGACACTTCGGGATCCCTTTTTGAATCAATAATTTGGCCAAATTCACCTTCGAGCCCCAGTCTCAGCTCAGCTCATCTCGTCTCATCTCTCATTCATAAAGAGCTGCACTCGAAGCCCAGACAAGACAGATCGCACGTGCGCTCCCCTGGCTTTTGTGAACCTTAGGTGCCATCGCGAATTAGCGAGGCAAATACACGACGATATTGCTGCCCAGAGTGGCAGAGATTAAGTGAAACAGAGCAAAGCGCAGAGGCATGACAAATGTTTTCCCTCATTTCCACTTGGCAAATCAATAAAACGAATCCACATACATGCACACAGGTGCATGTGTACTTGTAGGTAGATGATATAAATATACGAAGGAGATGCATACGCTTTTTGCCCAGATTTAAAGCCAGCGATCAATATTTGAACAACAAATCAGCGGCAATAACAGCCGCGGAGTGGGGCTGCGAGCAACAGCAGCGATATCTGGGAGCCAACTTTTAATACAGAATCCGTGCGCGTTGGTAGGGGATGCGTAAGACGAATTAACACCGGCGCGTTAACACAATTAGTGGCAGAGTGAAAAATGACATAAAGCTAGTGGAAGCAGATCAAATAAAGCAAAATCCATATGCCAACCGGGAGTAGCCACCAAAAGATCGGCCCAGAAAATTTGCAACACTACACTCGTGGAGCGTTTTCAGTCATGAAATGAAGCTCCAAGATCGCGGCTGAGAAACGAAAGAAACGCGGAACGCAAGTTATCTAATTCAGACCCAATCCGAAGGCTCTCCGACATGGCTGATCTACTGAAAGCTCTCAACTTCACGGGCACGCTGCTGGCGGGCCTCGAGGACAGCAGTCATGAGTCTGCATCGATTGGAGCCGCCACCACCACCACCACACTGCCTGAGGGTACCAATGGCACAAGTGCCTTGAATGTGACAACGACCAGCAGCGGGGAGAAGCTGGATCTGGGCGGCTTTGATCTGCCCGGCAACTACTCAATTCTCATCAACAAGCTCGAACAGCTGGCTCTGGGCCTGGACTCGGCTTTGGGCAACTTCACCATCGACCGCCAGGAGGTCGAGATCAATCTGAGTGGCGGCGCCACCGATGTGACCGACGATCTGCTTTTCAGCGATGTGCTGCCCGCTGCGCGGGCCCCGCCGCCGCATATTGCCCACGGATCGAGGATATATACTGGTGACGATGGCCAGGACTTTGCCCACGTCGTCAGCGATATCTGGATTGGTGTTATTCTGACTCTTCTCATCGTATTCGTGATCTTCTTCATCTGTGCGTGCTTTGTCTACCACAAGTTCCAGCAGTGGAAGAATTCATGTAAGTCGGCGTACAGGAGGCCCATCCTCAATCAATCACACGTGGTTCCTCTCACAAAGAGATGAACAAATTCATTAAATAATCTACATACATATGTACATTAGCGTTTCCTGCGAGTTGCAAGACGAGTCTGGAGTCTGAATCAGACGTGGGCTACAAGTGGAAACCCATTCAGATGGGTGACTAAAGGCTAGACTTGGTGCTCCGTGAGAGGGGGAGGAGCAGAGAACAAAAACACAATAATAGCAAGCGATAAAATCAAATAAACAAAAGTGCCAAAGTACCAGAAGCAAAGCAAAGTCTGCCAGAAAAGAAGGTTTCAAAAACAAATAAAAATAGAAAATAAATATAAAAATAGAATAGAACGGAGACGGAGACGGAGATGGAGACGGAAACGGTGACGGAGCGGTGTCGGTGGGGGTAGCGGAGAAGGGGGAATGACTCACATAGGGGAAATTGAAACTTGCAGCTTGTATTTATTTAGCACAATCCAGAATCATGTCTTGTGACTTGGAAACAAAGGCACACGCTCGAGTATTAAATGGCCAAGAATATTCAGGGGTCGGCCAGCACATGTATATCTCTAGTCGGCTATTTGTTTGGCTAAACAATTCGCAAAATAATAATAATTAGAAGCCACAAAGCAGAAGCTGCTACGGAATGCCAGACAACTAAAGATTTATCATATTCTGTCCAGCCTTCAATTTAATATAAATTATAAGGCAATTAGTCCAATAAATTTCCAACTACAATGATTAAACATTCAGACTAGGACCGACACAACGATAAAATCATAGATAGAGATAGAGAGAGAGAGAGGGAGATGGAGAGAGGAACTAAGTCAAGACACTGCCATTTGGACCGGGAAGAACCCCTTCGCCCACTGTCATTGTGTTTGCCTTTGGCCACTTTCAAAAACAAACATAACGCTTTCAGTTAATTAAAGTTGCAGTCAAGTGGTCCATTTCGAGGGGGAATCGAGCATTGCTTTTGCTTTTGCTTTTGCTGTTGCTGTTGCTTACGTTTGCCAACATCTCGAGCTCCTCTCCTCTGCACTCCACTCCACTCCACTGGCTGGCTCGCC